TATTTCTATAAAATTTAACTTTCTGATGATACCTTATTTAGACATTAAAATAAATATTTCGAATTGTCGAAATACTAAGAATAAAAAATTCAAAGTACGGCATTTGAATTGTACATAAACTTAAGTTAAAAATAAAACATAATACTTAGGTTATAATTTTGATGTCATGCAAATTGCTGATGTTAATTTATTAATTTTGTAACGAAAGTTATTATTATTTAAATATCTTGTACGAATGATTTTATATTATTATAAATCTAAAGAAAATGCCCATCCATCCAAAGTTTTCTAAAAATGCTTCGCTTAGATCACATTCTGATCGTCTTAACATTTTTATTCCAATAATGTTTTTGCCCCGCGTGTGTTTTTTCTTTTCATAATTTTCCCCATACCGCCTAAGGCTAACCTATTTCCTTCCCATCAACCCTTGAACCTACCGACATTGACGTGAAGTAAAATTGAAGGGATTATCTAAAAATTGCACATTCCATTAAACCATCATCAACTTTTTATTTCTAACATTACTTTCAAAACTATTGTAAAAAGCATATACAATAAGAATAAATGCAATTAATGTTGGTAATAAAATTTGCATTAGCTCCACCAAAAGCGAAACGTAATACAAAGTACAGGCATAATTCATTAATAAAGGCTAAATAGACCCGCGTTTTCATTAATAAAAGAAATATTTTTGCAAATAATATTAACGAATAAATTACATTTCATAATAAATTGAAACCAGGAAAAAATTGTAAAATAGACTTCATCAAAATCCAAAGCAAAAAGATGTGCTCAGTAAAAAAATAATTAACCAAAATAAAGACATTTTCAATATGCAATTTGAAAAATAAATGAAGGATAGTAGGTTATTCTTGATAAAATTACTATTTATTAATATTTTTTCTATACTAATTTACTGCATTAAACTATTCTGTTGAATGTATTAAAAGTAAGATAAAATGAATATTACAATCTGCAGTAAGACAATTTCGTCTTATAATTGAAGTACGTAGCTATTTTGCACAGAGCATAAAAATTCTGAAGACTTGTGTAAAAAGAATAGTAATTTATAATTTTCTCCTAAATTAATATATCCTATTTCCCACTAGTAGAATTTTTTTTTATATAGTTCTGATTGAATCTGGTTGAAATCTGAGATAAACATAATAAGGAATATTAATTCCAATTTACTTTTAAATTTCTAACGAAATCTTGAATTTTATAAAATGTAGATACGGTGATGGTAAACCTGATGAAGTGATAGTTTCTCAGAATGGTCTTTCATTTTACGTATAATAAAAAAGTAGTTTATTTCATTTTTTTGCGTCAAAAGTATAGTCCGAAATAATTATTTTACAAAGATTTTTTTTCCGAATTTATTTATAAATCTATGTTTACAAAACATTGACAAATATATAATATTTTTGACACTTATCATGCATGGCATACGGAACAATACCATGGAATCACACATGGTTTTGTCTACAATTCGAACAGTATGTGTTTAATATACCACCAAACCATAATATCCAATCGAACTAAAAATTGCTTGTGGAAATTTAACCTTCATAAAGAAGTTAAATCTTTACTAAAGCATTCGTTAAATCATTGTTGAGTAGTTATGCGAACATTTAGCAATTTTAGTTACCAAAAAGGGCAAGAGTGAGTTTGTCTCGTTTTACCAATGAAACTAACAGTTATCTTAAAAGAAATGTCATTATTTTGAAAAGTAAACATATTTTAAAAACTATCTACAAAAATTGCAGAAAAAAAATTTTTTTCTCCCCAAAACAATCCAAAAACTAAGTCAATGCTACAATTCAAACTCAATGCTTTTCGGGGGGGGGGAATGGGGTGGAAGAACAATCCTAAAACTAAATTAGTGCTACAGTTTAAACTTAATATTTTTCTAAACACCTCAAAAGAGCGATAATGACAGAAGCAATGATAACTCCAGTAATCGCTTTTGCTACACTTTTCTACGGATCTTAAGATAATCCCTCCTAAACTGGAAAATAATCCCCGTTAAGTGCAGGACCTATAGCATAGCGGTCATGAATCATCTATGACGGCTCGGCCCCGCCATCTTGGTTCAGAATTGTTCTCATTCGTGTGTTGGGATGGAGGCTTGTTGTTTGTGTGTCAGGTAAAAGCGGCCCAGACCACAGAAGATTTCGATGACAGTTTATATCATGGAACACCCGTACGCCGACATTCCAAACCAAATTACATGTCTCTTATTTCTTTTTCAGATTATCACTGATGGCAGTTGATAAATCTTTCTCGTTTTTATATATTTTTTATTCTCGGTGGCAGTTTGGATTGTGTAATGATGTGATATTAAGATTAATTCTTTTCGAAATGCTTCTCAAGATATGTTTCCTCTTGTTCTAGGAAAAAAAAAAAAGCGTTTTGAATATTCCTAGTGTGATTTAAGTTTTCGCAGAAATGAATCAATAAGTTCGTGAAATTACAATAAAAAAATAATAGACTTAAGTTTTCTTAGCTGAACGTTTATGAAGACTTTATCATTCAAGAAGAGAATCTCATTTTTAACAATATTATTAACAACAAAAAACATTAATCGGTCAAAATTGCATTTCTAAGCACAGACGTTTTTTTTTTAAATTTATGACAAATTTATTTACTTTCATACCACCAGTGGCTGCTTAAAGTATGAAATGGAATGTCAGGTTATATTATCTCTTATCTAGTGTGATCTAAGTTTTTGCAGAGATTTATCACTAATTTCTTGAACTTGTTATAAAAAAAAAAAAGTTTTTTTAGCAGAATATTTTGAAAGCTTTATCATTAAAGAAAAAATTTTGAACAATATTATTAAATGAAAATAAAAAAATATTAATCCAACAACAAAACTGCATCTCTAAGTATAGACATTTTTGATAAATTTAGAACATATAAATTTATGACAAATTTATTTACTTCATGCTCCAGTGACAGATTGAACAATGTAATAATAAATATTAGGTTACATTAGTTTTTGTCCAGCGTGATTTAAATTTCAGTTGAAATTAATCACTAAGTTCGTGAACTTATAAAAATGTAATAATAAACTAGATTTTCTAAGAAGGGGAGAAAAACTAATTTTTAACAATATTATTGACAATAAAAATATTTATCAGACCGAGCTGCATTGCTAAGTATATATGTTTTGGATCAATTTATAACTTATAAATTTATGAAACTTTTTTTTTCTTTCATGCTTTCAGTGGCAGTTTGAATCATGCTTGGTACTCATTGATGGACCCACTGAAGGGATGAAGGGCTGAGTCAACCTTGCTCTGCTCGAGGTTCGAGCCCAGGACCTGTGGCAAGGGAGCGCGAAGCCACCGGGCGTCAACTGCGTGACTACTCTTATATATTTTTGATACATTCATAACTTATAAATCCATAGTAAATTTATACATGATTAAATTTTCCTCTGTTCTAAGGAAAGAGGTTTATATATTTCTTAGGTTAACAGAATAAGGAATAAATTGGAACGAGAAATTAATTACTAACTAACTCATAAACTCTAAATAAATAAAACAAAATCATAAATTGAGTTTTTTTGTCATTAGGATTTAGTCACTGAAGACAAAAAAACTATAAATAAATAAATACTCGTATTACTTTAAGTTAAAATAAGAAATTGTCGAGGAATAATATTTTTTTTTTATTCATACTTCATTACTAAACATATAGTTTTGCTAAATTAGTTATTTATGCTTTAAATGGTTTGAAACATGTAAATATTTATTAAGACACCATGTACTGACAACTGCATGTTTCTGAAAGCTTTCCTTTATCATCTTGTTGTTGAAATGATTGCTATTTTTCCTTTGCCGAGAGAGCTCTCAATCCGAAACAGTAATTTTTTTATTCATAGTGTTTTAAGAAGTCATTTTCTCGGCATTTGTAATAGTATAATAATGTAAAATATAGATCTTTATTTTAAATTATTATTCAGTCATTTAGAAATGCCTCTCAAGGTATTTCAAAGGTAAAAATTTTTCTCGAAAAATTGATCAATACAAAAAAAAGCAATTTCAAATAAAATATGACTCGAAAAAAATTATCTGACAAATCAGAATTGTTAAAATTATTCATATATTCTAAATTTATGCAAATGCCTATTTTGTTACTAAATTGTGCAAGAATGCAATATATTGAATTGAATTGCTATATGAAGGTTTGAAGTTTCCCAATGTCTAACCCAGAAATTTTAACCTCAGGCTTTTATTTAAGTATTCGTTTAACAAGTATTCGTTTAACATATTGATAAGATTTCTGAAAACTACCCTTTAAGTGAGGTGTTTAAGAACACCGAGCTTTTTTACTTCTTGCTCATCTTTTAAAGAGAGAGTTGAGAGTGTTAAAAAGGTTTCATTATTATCATAAATAAACGAATATGCGTTTTATTCTTATTTTAATGTTGACAAAGTATCCATTTCTAAAAATCAATAAGAGCCCAGCAATATCTGATTTAATCAGCAATAAATATTCTTCTAAAGAATCAAAATTTTATTTTCGAAGCAAAGTTCAACAAACTAATAAAGGACAACGCTTTCATAGTGCATTGAAACAGAAAAAAAAATTGCATACCTCTAAGAAATGAAGGTAACACATAAGTAGACAGGGATTCCACCCACGCACTTTAGTTTCCAGAGAACAACCGGAAGAGGAATGCCGTGAATCAATGTTCATTATCACCCGAATTCAAAGCTTTTATTGGGAATGTTTGGAATGCAAGATTGAATTCAGCTAATGAAACTCGAGTTTATTAAGTGTTCCCCTGTAAAACTCTTTCTTTGCAAATATTTCATACGTTTGTACCGTTTCTAAAAGGACTCTTTGTTTGGTTCCTGCAACGTTATTTATTTATTTTTAGATACTATTTTGACATTCTATCACTGTGTTTGTTGTTAGTTTATTTTGTGTCTTTCATGTTTCAAATAACTGCTCTTCTACCATTATATCTGGATTTTTTTTCCCCATAGAGCTTTATTTCTAAGAAAGATCGAAGATAGGGTGTGGGCTTGTATAGCGAGACAGAAGTGCAAAAAAAGTCGAAGTTTAAAGATGTGAAGCGATTTCATCCAAAGAAAAAATATTTATTTATTTTTAAAAGAAATTCTGGTTGCATCACAAACTAAGAGAATGTCAAATATAAGGTAATTGTATTTACTTTCATATTTTACTATAAAAACTTCTAAATTTTTATTAATGATTAATATATTTCTTACATTAATGATTAAAATATTATATACCTTTAGAAAAGAATTGACACTAGTTTATATTTATGTTAGTCTTTTCAACTTTTATGCATTTTTATTTATTTATTTTTTTGTTTTTGTGTTAAGGAGCACATGCATTTTGATTTTAATGAAATTAAAGCATGTCAAGGTAAAAGACTGGACAATATGGTTAAAAATATGTATATGTACAAATTACAGAAACTATTTTCTTTCCTTTTTTGATAGTAAAAATATCATGCTTTAACGGATCTATTTTTAAATATATAATTTAATTTTTAATTTTTTAAAGTTATTCGTACTTTGATATACGTTTCATATTGCTATGAAACTAAATTTTTAACTAATATGTAGCACGCAATAAAATATGTGTGTAAATAAATAAATATGTGTTTACAACTACATTCCTCCTATGGGATATTTACTTTATGGATATCAAGTATATTTATTAGATAACTAATAATTATATTTTTTACCTCATAAAAATCTATCTTTTAAATTTTAGACTTCGCAACATTTGCTCAAGAATCCTGTTAATTAGCTCTAGACATTATAAATATTAAGATTTTGAAAAAAAAGTTAATTACAAAGTAAGTCAAAATATGTAATATGTTACTATAACATATTTTCTTTTATGTATATGTTAGTTTTAAAAGCATCAAGTTGCGCCATCTTTACTTACAAATATGAACTATATTGTAATTTAAACAGATCTATTTTTAAATTGTTTAAAATGAGCATGCATATTCTAATCGAACGTATGCATTCGCAGAATTTTATACAATAATAAAATTGGATATAAAAATAAAAAAAATTCGGGCAGAAATTTCAACTACAATATTAAAAAAATTATTTATTGAAGGTGAAAAAAATAATAATAGAATATTTTTATTTACTTAACACTTTGTTTGTTGTATTAATTTTTTCTCATTCTCGGGGCATAGACAATTCCTGAAGAAAAGGCATTTTTTTATTTTTGATTATTAATGAGCTTTATTAGAGATTCATACCATTAAAAATGCATTGATTAAATATTTACACTCATCTGAACAATTTTGAAAAAAATTATTTCCCTAAATGTGAGATAAAATCAAAAAAATAGAAAACTGAAAAACTGGAAATTAAATATTAGTATTTTAAGTTATATTTTAGTAAAAATCCGTACTGAATAACTTATTGCTATTGGTGTAAACAACTATATTAATCTAATATCTATATTAATCTAATCTATAAAATTTGTAAGTTCTATTAGAAATAAAAGCATTTGCGAAATTTGATTCAGTAAAAATAGTAAAATGATAAAAGGCAAGCAATGAATAATAATATTTATTTATTAATTTTTCTTCTTTTAATTTTTTTTTTTTTTTTTTTTTTTTTTTTTTTTTTTTTTTNTGTTTTTTCTTTTAATTTTTTTTTTTTTTTTGTCTTGCATTTCTTTGATAAATATAAAAAGCAGTCATTATTTAATTCATTCTACTTAGTTAATATAACTTTCATAATTATTACTTTCTATAATTTTTTTCATTAGTTATAAATATGTATTATTTATTAAAATATTAAGGCATTATATTTTTATTTTTAAAGAACATGTTAACATTAATTCTAATTCCACGTAATCTAAGTTAAATACTTATAACGTTAAATACTTATATAATACGTTACAATTCTANTATTCACGAAAATTGACTAAATATAAAAAGCATTCATTATTTAATTCATTCTACTTAGTTAATATAACTTTCATAATTATTACTTTCGATAATTTTCTTAATTAGTTATAAATATGTATTATTTATTAAAATATTAAGGCATTATATTTTTATTTTTAAAGAACATGTTAACATTAATTCTAATTCCACGTAATCTAAGTTAAATACTTATAACGTTAAATACTTATATAATACGTTACAATTCTAATTCATGATATACGTTATACTTCTAAATTAAATACTTACGTAAGACAAATAAATTTATTGTAGAAATTGCTAATTATAAAAATTACTGTTTGCAGAAATTACTGATTAGAGAAATTTCTGACCATAACTATCAATGAATCATTTTCTATTATGATTTTAAAGCAAATGATGAAACACTCATTTGCAGAATTAAATACAACTAACTTGATTCCACTAATTTTGCCGTAAAATTAAATCTCACTAAAGAGCATTTCCAATTCCTTGATTTCCAAGTCAAATAGTTCAAAGACAATTAACTAAATAATGAAGTACTTATTATAATAATAAATGCATTATTTTTTTCAAAGCATATGTTGAAACTCTCATTCCCAGAATCAAATCGATTCTACTAATTTTGCGGTAAAAAAAACCTTTAAAAGAATAGTTCTAATTCCCAGCAACTCCATTAAAATGCTTAATAAAGAAAAAATAAATTACGCAAATTAATGCAATTAGTAAATACCAAGTATTAGCACGGTATTTTAATATATTTTCAAAACCCATGATTAAACAACAGTCACACAAGGAATCAAATTTGATCAACTTCATTATACTTTTGCTGTAGGAAACCCTCCCAAAAGAGCAATCTTAATTCCCAGCAATTCAAATTGAGAGAGAAATAAATTGTGGAGGAATGTGACTCTCCTTTTTATATAATCCTCACCGGGCACTGTAAAAAATTCCGGATCAAATTATGGCATAAAATTTCGGCACTTCATCATCCGTTAGAACCATTTTACCGTAAATTCCATTTTACGGTAAAATATTATACCGTAAGTTTTACATAAATATTTATTTAATTAGAGTGATTCAGTGACTTTACGGTAATTATTACTGTAAAAATTACAGTATGTCAGATTTTTTGCTCCGTAACATATTCGGGTAGAAATGAATTTTACGGTAGAAACTGGTTTTATGGGATCTTACAATACTTAGGGAACTTACAAAATGGAATGGTACTTACAGTAATTACGGAACTTTTACGTGATCGGCACCCTGCGTGCTGGTACTTATTACCGTAATTTGATCCAGAATTTCTTAGAGTATTATTGTATTATTACGGTTGTCAATGGTGTTTTTTATAAGTGGAAGTAAAAAAACACTGAAGTATGTAAAAAATTCAGGATAGAAAAATTTTTAATTCTTGAAATAATTTTTAAAAAAAGTTATCAACAAGTGACCAAAAAACATGCATAATTGTCAAGACCCGAGTTGCTGCAAAATATGTCTAGGGGGCCAGGAATTGTAATCCTTTACCCTTCATGTATTTGTCCCCTTATTTGCTGTGTTTTGTTTCCCAGATTTAAATATGATAAATGGAATGCACAATGCATTTAAAATAGAAATTTAATTCCTATTTGAGAACAGGAAATCTGCGCATCACTTTTTAACCAAAATATGAGTAAATAAAATTAAACTTAATTTAAGGAAATGCTTAATTTGAATTAAAGGGAGATGAATATATTTTGTGAAAACTTTGTTTTAAAAAAATGCGCGTAATGTTTTGAATTTTTTTTTCGAGTTGCTGTTTCTTTCGATAAGCACACAGAAATATTTTATTTTCTTAGGTATAACTAAAACATTTACATGCTACTTATTTATCTTGTAGTTAGAAGTTTGTACAATTAAAGAAATTCCGCGAAAACTTGACAGCGATGGTGTTTCATAAAAAAAAATATAATAATATAGAAAAGGAAATTAAACGAAACAATTGCGCAACTTAATAAATTTTTATATATCAGTTTTTATAATGGCATAAAAATATTATTGTCCAAAAATATTATTGTCCAAAAATGTTATTAAAAATAAATTTAATTCATTTAAACTAGTTTGCTGCTAAACATTTTAACTTAGTCACCAAGTTTTTAAAAGTATTGACTTTTCAAAAATATTGAATATTAGTAATGGAACTGAATTATATTGAGCAGTAGATGCTATAAATCTGGAAAACTAATTCAGTTCCCCTTGTTTATAATATACTATTTTATGTTTTTAATTATATTATAACTAAAAAACTTTGTCTGTTACAGATTTCAATTTTTCGAGGAGTGTGGAATTAATCAATTTCGAAAATGTGGAGATAATTGTTTTCTTAAAGCAAGAAAGTGAGATAAACAACAAAAAATAAATAAGTATATGTGGCAAACTTTTTTTATAAATAAATAATTTGTGAGTTTCGTTTCCATAACCAAATTTTAAATCATTATCTCTATGGAATCAAATAGTAAATATATTTTATCTGTTGATTACTGATTGGGTCATTTTAAAACTTAATTTTGTTAATATTAGCTACACTTCATAGCAATTAAAGAAGGTACTTATGAATAAAACCACAGTTCATTGAAGATTAATTTTTGCTTGCTGTTTGAGAAGATTTCATTTAAATTTAGTAGAAGCCTTTATGAATTTTGAAAAGTGCTCATTTGAAAACGAATTTTATTACAAAATATAAACTGGTGTATAAGCTTCAAACATCAGTGCTAAAATTCAAGAAATAAGCATATTTTATTTATCAGAATTATCAACAAATTTCGTACTGTTTTAATAAAGGCATTTTTGACCCTGTAAACAGATTGATCCGTTGTAGTCGATTCATATAAATCGATTTCTATCAATCAAATAGCAACCAATCACGCTCTCGAATCGACCCCGATTCAAGGAAGATTTCCCTACCTCCCACATTTGGGGATGGAAACAAGATACTTTTCCATTAGAAATCCCTCTGTTATAGATTTTTTTTTTCTTTTCATTTCATTCTCTTTCATTTTCCCTCCTACTCGTCTCATAACAGAATCTTTTTACTAAATTCCTTCTTTTCATCCCATTGCTAAGCACTAAGCACAAATCTAAAAAAATGACTTGAAGAAAAAGTGAATTTAACAAAAAAAAATTACAATTTAAAAAAAAATATTTAGAAATAATGTTTTTTTAATGTATAGACACTCATTTATTTTCCAGAAGATGTAAAATTACAGTGATAAGTTACGTTAGAATAACGTGACAGATAGAAAAACTGTTATGAATTTTTAAAATGTTTATCATTGAAATTCACATGACAGAGACTAGGTTATTTTTATAAATATTACAAATTCTAACTTTGAAGTATTCTAGAAAGATCTACACCTCGAATGTCTACACCCTGACTTTTCTTTAAATCTTAAGCATCTGTTTAGAAAATAAGGAGAAATAATCATTTGCATGAAATTAAATTGAACAGTGTCTACCTAGATATATTCTAAGGATAAACTCTGGCACGACAGCCCATGGAGAGCCAAGGCCTTCTGTGCCCATCTCAGTCTTCTTGACCTTTGGGCTCTGGGGTGCAAGAGCAGATGTTATGGTTGGTTGGTCAGCCCAACGCGGAACCCCCAGTGTTCAGTTCCCACGCATGCTTGGTGCTCATTTTATTGATCCACTGAAGGGATGAAAGGCTGAGTCAACCTTGCCCTGCTCGAGGCTCGAACCAAGGGCCTGTGGCACGAAAGCGCGAAGCTCTACCACCCAGCCACCGGTCATCAATCTTAAATAGTATGGTGAAAATTGGGCACAAAATATTATTAAACACGTGTAATTCCACACAGAAAAAAAATTCTGGTAAAATTACCGTACATTATGATAATCACATTTCATGTATAAAAAAAATCCATAATTGTGGTAATGGAAATCAAAATATACGATTATTAAACTATTCATTAGATCATTTTTCTGTACATATGGAAACGGTTTACCGAAACTTCATAGTTCTAAAATTATAGTTTTTATTACCAAAAATTGATTACAAAATACAAAACTAAAAATAAATTAAACCGAATAAATGATTATGTCATGTTCTAAACTATCATGATGAAATTTGCCAAATTTTTCATTATTTACCGAATTTTAACACACATTATAAAACCGTATTTCAGTATTAATTTTACTAAAATCATTACGAAAGCGAGTAGGTAAAAGCTTTTTGGTCTTCCCATAGATCTAGAAACCTAACTATATTCTAATAGTCTTGACTATACTTTTTTTCTCAGTACATAAAGCAAAATGGGAAAGTGATCACATTCTAATAAAATAATTGTAAATATATTGTTGTTTAATAATGTTATTAAATATATACTTAAATAATAAATTTAAAACTATCTTTTTACATATTTCAAACACTAATTTAATAAATTAAAAATGAAAGGATAGTGTAAAATATTTCAAAAAATGTAAACAATTATATATTAATTTTTTTAATTTTTTTAATTGATTAATTTATAAACACTTCAAAAAAAATTTTAACATCCGAACCTCTTTTTGGTCTGAATATTAAAACTAAGATGAATCAAGAATGGAAACCAGAATGGATCAAGAAAAAAGTTCAATATTGGTAATAAAACTCTTGAATCCAGATCTACTTCCGATATAACGGTTTTTTTTTCTTTTTTTTTTGAAGTGAATAAAGAAAAAGTTAAATAAAAAAAATCAAATAAGAAAAAGAGGAAATGGATAGGACAAAACATCAATCATGCTCCCAAGAGAATGGATCAAACGTTCGATAAACCTGATTGACAAGATAGCTCCCTAACAGAATTTTCAGTTCTGTTAGCGAACCATGAAACTGAAGATTCTTTTTTGATGTACGTGCTCTTAAGAAAATGTAAGGGGTTTATCCCAAAGTTACAAAAAGAAAGATTCTCTGGCAATTTTGGAAAAATGAAAAATGAAATGAAAAATTTGATTTCACTGAAAAATGAAAGATTTCTTAAAAGAGCATTTTTATAGCTTTCATTTGAATAGCAAAGCGGTTTATAACACGCAAGACAAAACTAAAAATAAATCTATTTTACGAAATGTGAAAATTCATACAACAAATATACAATTCTCAGTGCTTTTCTTTTCTTTTTTTTTTTTTTTTTTTAAAAGAAAAGAAGACAAAGAGAACAGATNTTTTTTTTTTTTTTTTTTTTTTTTTTTTTTTTTTGAAAAATTCGCAATTGTTCTATCAGATAGATCGATTTTTTTATCTATTCCTACCATAAATTTACAAAAACAGAAAAAGTTGATTTTTGTTTTTAAATTCATGAATATTGCAGTGAAAGAAGATACATATCTAAATTTTTATTTGTTCCAATAATTAGAATTTAAAATGAAAATTAAAGGAATAATAAAAAAAAATCGGGAAATTAAATCCTCTTTTTTTCTTTGATGAAACGGGTATTTTGAAGCAAATTTCGTAATCAAACGAAGTTTTAAAGGCGGAACTGTCTACAGTCTTTTGCTTTTTTCGCTTTTATAACGATAACTATGTAAACAGTCTGTCGTAATAAAAATAACATTTTTACTGCAACAGACATTTTTATTGCAACAACACTTTTAATATAAATAACATTTTTATTGCAACAACAATAACATTTTTCCAAGAGCAATATTAATATTTCCATGGTTAGAAAAAATTTATTGTGTATTTTTCAAAACTGTATAGACTTTTCTCTCTGTCTCTCTCTCTTTCTCTTTCCCTCTCCCTCTCTGAAAAAATGCAGTTTAAAAATTCAGTAAATTTTATAACTGACTGTTGACTAGGGTGAATCTAAAAATTGACTAATGACTGTCAGTATGACTGTAATTACTCAATGAATATTACTCAGATTGACTGGATTGACTAATGACTTATAGTTTAGTTTTTCGCTTTTACACTTGTTTGCTGATATAATTCCTTTGATATTCAAAGAGAGCATAGTAACTCAAGGAAATTTCTTTGCAAAAAGTGTAAAAATTCCCAGATAAAATTAAGGTAAAAAGTTCCGGCATTTAAGTTGCCGGTACTTTTTACCCTGAAATCAATATTCACCTTAAAATTTTACTGTACTAGAAATCTGTTAAACCGTAATTTTAACATAAATACTTACTGTAAAATCAGTAAATCTCTGTAATTAAATAAATATTATTGTAAAAATTACGGTATAAAATGTTACGTGTACCTTTATGGATGCTGTACCCAGAGTGCCAGCACTTTTTATCGCAATTTGATCCGGATTTTTTTATAGCGTATGTTAGAATAAATAAAAATTTTCTTTTCTTTCTCCTTTACAATCCTAATGATATTTATATTCTAGTAAAAGAATACAGCGATGTTATTTTAAAATCATCTTAATATTATTTTATTAGCTTAAAAATATTTCCTTTCCAGATAAAAAAGAAATGAACGACAGAAAACAGAAGATTAAAAAAAAAGAAAGAAAGAAATGGGAAACTGCAGGAAAAGAATTTAGATTGTGATGGTTTTAATTTTTCTGAATGAATTTTTTTTTAAATAGTAGTTTTTTCCGATTTTATTTTATTTATATGTTATGTATATTGCTTTAATTACATGCTTTACATAAAATATGACATTTATTTGAAAATATACTTTTGAATATATTGTATTGTACGATTTTTCTTACATTATGTTCAAGATTTGTAAAATAGCAGTTCTTAGCTCTTTGCTAAATTCGTTGGGAGTTATTATTACATTATGCTATTTACAATTAAAAAATATCTAAAATTATTGATATTTAGCGATTAAGTTCAGTAACTAATTTTACTTGTGTTTGTCTAAATTTTTGATATATTGTAGATTTAGTTTTGAAGTCCTGTCACTTAAACTGTAATTTAAGCTGTCAAAATAAATAAATAAATAAATATGAACATTTAATGAAATTAAAAAGAAAAAAAATTAAAATAATATTTCGTCTATACACCATATTGATTACAAGTACTTTCGCATTGTTTTGTGCTTTTTCATTCTTAGCAATTTTTTTTCTTTATGATTTTCATTTACATCTGATCGACAAGAAAATTTCTATAAATAGTTTAATATACATTGCTATAACATTACATTTGTAATAGTGCATTTTATATTTAAAAACTGGAGTGAGAACTGTAAGTTTTAATATTTTACTTAAAAAAATTTAAAATATTTCGACAAAATCAATTACTGAAAGCGAAAGATAAATTTTAAAATTTATTATTTCAACGAATTGATAATGAGTTAACCTCTGATTCTTATGCTCTAAACATTTAATTAGATAATTTTTTAAAAATTTAGATTGAATATTGCTTTATTTATATCGAATTAAAATCACATAAAAGGACAGCAGCATCACTGTTATAATATGGAATAAAATATTAAATATAAACATTAGTAACATGCACTAGAAAAAAAATTCCTTCAAACAGAAAAAAAAACCCATCAAACTATATTTATTTAAAAGAACTCTGCATTTGAACTTCTATACCAATAACATGAGTTGATAATTAAAAAAATTTTTTCAAAAAAATTAAATGAATAAAAAAAAAGTTTTTATTTAGAAAGCTTTTTCTTCAAATAATACCTAATTGTATTATTATGCTTCATAAATAGATGCTTAAATCCCACAAATATTACCCAAATTGCGTTAATTGCATAAATATGCATTGCGTTAGCAGGACATGGATATAACGTATTTTAACATAACACATAGCATACAAACATATATAAACAACAGTAATAATGAAATCAAAGCCATATATCTAAACTGATCGTAAGTTTACAACAAAAGGGACTTTTCACCAAAAATTATTTTGAATTTCCTTTAATTATGTATTTCATTTAATTCTGAAAAAAATATATATTTTTAAAAATCTTTAAAAAAATGTATATTTCATTTTTTTAATGTCTTAATTTTCGGTTTAAATTAAATGTTTAAAATTCAGAATGTTGTCGTTAATTTTTTATGCTATTTATTTAAAAAAATGAAAGAAAATTAGTTTATATTTAGTTAACTATTTTGTTTCATTCCTAAATTTTTTAACGAGTTTTCACTAGTTTTGTTTGAAAAACCACTCAGTGTTTCTTCAATGGCTCACCACAGTTAAAAATATCTGAAATATTTGCTTTACTCGTCAATTAGAAAAAATAATAAAATTGTTTTATTGTTTTATGTGACTTTGTCATATATTTACATTACATCAATATGTTTGGTGAGCTATGTAATTTTTAACTTAATCTAATTAATAAATATTTCTACACAATTTTCTCCACAAAAGTTTCATAATTTTTTTAATAATTTCAGAGATCAATTGGATTAAAATTTATTTCTCTTCTAATGTTACTAAATAACCGAAAAGAACAATTAATTAAATTATTTCCCGATCTTTACATCCCTTCGTAGCATAACATCATTTCCTAAAATATTTATAGATATTTAGCATTTTATTTGTTCAAAATGAAATAAATAATCAAACCTTATTTCTTCATTAACAAAAAGATCATAAACTGTAAAACATGTCTTACTCTCCATATAAAACGTAACATCCTCAACAAAGTGAAATATGGCGTTGTTCATCATATTTTTTTATAGTACTCAATATTTATTTGGTGTATAATATTAACTCGCTTAATAGTATATCCTTTGAATTATCTTTTTCAAATAAGAAACTAATGGAAGAAATATATAGATTAAATAAGATGCGCAGTTTATTCTGCGCAAAATTAAGATAAGGTTTTCAAACTATATTATTTTAATTTGAATGTTTCTTATCAGTATGTTGTAAGCTTTTAAACTATTTTATTTTAGTTTTAATGATTTTTATTAGGATGCTGTAATTTTTTAAATTATTTTATTTTAATTTTAATGTTTCTTATTATAGTGTAGTCTTTTATTTTACACTAAACTAATTCACAACTTAAACACGTGAATGGTCCATAGAAATCACACATAAGTAAGAATGTTATTATAATAATATTTGGTACTTATTATTTTTATGGTACTATATTTTTAAAGGTATTTTTTTAACGCTTTAATTGTGATATTTTATAGATAAAGCATGTTAATAGTCTGTATATCACATATTATAAGAATGTTATTCTATTAATTTTTGTTTTATTATTTTTATGGTACATTATTTTTAAGGTATATTTTAACGCTTTGTTTGTGATACTTTAATGATAAATTGTCCATTTATTGAAGTGCACATTAAATTGTATATTCACTCGAAAAAAATCACAATGAGAAAGAACTTCTTGGACTAATTAATTATATTTATATTCAGAATGATAGTTTTTCAAAAAGTTCCAATTTTCTAGAAACTCTATAAGATACATAAGTAATGACGCGGAAAAAGTTTCAGTTATGAAAGAAATTTTGGAAAGATTAAGTATTTTCTTACTCAAAAATGCCTAATCTACATTCCTATCTAAAATGGAACACGAAATTAAGCGTAAAAACTTTGTCTTGAGAAAATGAAAAATATTTTACCCTAAACTCTATCTGATGCTTGTAAAGAAATTTTTAATTTCTGCCAAAAAATGGACCCACAAACACGATTTGCTCTTTTAACCTCTAGTTCATTACTTTTGAGTTTCAGGATTTAAAAAAAAAAAAAAATAGCTCTGTAATTATATTAGCTATGCAAAGAGTTATCCAACTTATGTTATGAAGGATACACTTTATAAATAAGTGATGTTGGCAGGTTTAAAAATCTCTCTAGAAATATTAATGATGTAAGAAATTAATGGTTCGGTCCTACAACTGGACAGACAATTCAGGTGCATTTTTTTGAAATTAGCACACATTTATTTCTGTTAAGGTTAATCAGTTTAATACCTTCAAATTATAGGCAGTACAGCAAAAAATAGTTTTTGGAGTGATTGCTTAATAGTTGTCTTTGACAGACATCAATTCATCAAAGTGAAAAATATACTGTTTTTAATTATAAAGAATACCAACAAAGCTCGGAAATCGATTTTTTCTTGAGACAATTGCCATTTTGGCTTTTCTCTGGTAATGGCTTTAAAAACAAATATATTTTTGTTTTTCTTACAACTTTTATCTTTTATTCCGTTAACAGGGCAGTTATTCAACTTACATGTATTAGTATGACAGCAAATAGTTAAAGCTACCTCAACTTACTTTCCTCTTACTTTCTGTTCTACTAACATGAGAAATTATGGAATTTATTTGCTTGCAATATATACATTATATGCTTTCAAATAATAAGCAATATAGCAGAAGAAAATTCTTGGGGTGATTGCTAAATGGCTGTTTTTAGTCAGAAGGAATACCAACAAAGATCGGAAATCGATTTTTTCTTGAGACAATTGACATAATCGGTTATAATTATTCTGTTATCTTTTATTCTGTTAACAGGGCAGTAAAGACTCATTCTTTTCAACTAACATGCTAACATAACATCAAATAGTTAAGACTACAACAATTACTTTCTGTTCCGCAACATGAGAATGTATCAGTTTGTATGCAATGTATGAGGCCGGGATAGTCTGGTTGATAGGGCGTTAGGCTCATGTCCAAGAGGTCGTAAGCTCGATCTCCACCGACAGAAGACTCCCCTTGCACGTTAAATCTGTCGGGTCACAAATTCCTCCATGTTCCCATGTCAAATAAATACTCCTGGGGTTACTGAATTTTGAGGATTCATCGTTCGTTGGTTCTGGTCAAAATTAGATGAATGAATGGATGAATGAATGGGTCCGCCTTATAAACGGGCTGTGAGGTGTGTGTAACTGAAGTCGTATTCTTTGGCATAGATGGCATTACTGAAAAACAAGAAAAGCACCCGCTGCCTCAAAATTCTATTGGTTTCACCAAGCTGACTTACTAGTATTAGAAAGTGGCATTAGTGAACAGCAACACAATGTATGTTGTTTACTATTTGTTTACAATGTGTATTGTATATAACAATTACTGCTTTCAATATATTCTGCTTACACAATAGTGTATCAAGATTTCTGTATACGCTATGATTTATTAGCTTATCTGCATATCAAAATTTCTACTTAGTATACCTTTTTTAGCATGACAATACTTCAAAATTTTAAGGAAAACGTCTGCTTATAAGAAAGAATATCAAAGTTTTTGGTTACAAAATGCTCTACTAGCATTACAATAATCTAAAAGTCTACTTACAATATATTCTTATATCAATCGTAATGCTACCATATAATAGCTTTTTCTTCTGCTAACACGACAATATCGATAACAAGAAATTCTCTATCACCTTCCCATCTTCTTATACGATACCAAAACAAAAAGAAGTAAATCAATAAATAAAAGAATTAGTTTTAGAGCTTTTGCTAAATTTTTATTTTCTGCAGACATCAATTCATTAGAGTAAAAAACAATTTATTTAGCTTTAAAGTAGAAAAAATTCGACTGAATACCAACAATGTTCGGAAACTAACTTTTTTTTAAACAAAAAATCTACTACCATTGTTGCCTTTCATACGCAATGACTTTGAAAGCTGTTTTTTAATTGGAAGCGGTTTAATTTTGCTAAAAAAATTGAAATGGGAAAAATACAATCGCATTTTTAATCATTTTGGATGTAACTATCAATAAAAGTTTTCCTTTTAATTTAATTATGACACCGTGAGGGTTTTCGAAGAGGTTATGTGCTTTTTATTATGTTTTTATTGTGTATTTTTAGTGTTCATTGCGTGTTTTATTAACTTATGTCATTCTTATTATGATGTTATGCATTTTTCATTAATTTTTTTCCTTTTATTATTTTCCCTTTCAATTATTATTTTCTTGTTATTTAAGTTTATTTATTTGTGACATTATTATAGTTGATTATTACTTAATATTTAGAACCATTGTTTCACGTATCTTTAAGTTCAAAGTAAGCGTTCATCATGTTTCCTTTTTGGGTTTCACTTGAAATTGC